GAGAGGGAGTCTATTGCCAGGCTGGAGTGCAGTGGCATCATCTCAGCTCACTGCAACCTCCAGCTCCCTGGTTCAAGGGATTCTCCTGCCTTAGCCTCCCGAGTAGCTGGAATTACAAGCATGCACCACCATATCCAGCTAATTTTTGTATTTTTAGTAGAGACGGGGTTTCACCGTGTTGGTCAGACTGGTCTCGAACTCCTGACCTTGTGATCCGCCCGCCTCCCGAAGTGTTGGGATTACAGGCGTGAGTCACAGCGCCTGCCCTGCCCCACTTCTTGTAAGACGGCCTGTCTCTCCTCAGCAGTCCGGGCTGGTGTCGGGATTCAGGTTAGGATGTGAGCTCCCTGATGGGCGGAGATCCCACTGGGACAGGTCTGTGTCCTTTCCCCGCTGGGCACTGGGACTCCCCACAGGACAGGCTTCAATGAGGGTTTGCTGGTGGAGACCAAGGAGAGGGGCGAGGGATGAAGATAGGGGGAGATGCCAGGTAGGGAGAGAGTGAGACAGGAACGGCACGAGAGAGGGGAAGAGGGAGGCCTCAGTGGGAGAATGCCGAGCCCCGCCTGCCGGCCCCAGGCTGCCACGGAGCCGGGATGCCGCGACCTGGAGCGCCCTCTGGTGGCCGACGTGGCTCGGCCCGGGGTGGGCAGGAGAGGCTGAGCCCAGGGCACCAGATGCTGCCCGGTTCCCCACCGCCATCATCCCTAGGGGTGGGTGAACCTGCCACTACCCTAAGCGTTCGTCCAGCTTAGTAACAGCAATGAGACTCTCACAAAGACAGTCACAGAGAGACGCCGAAAAGAGGAAAAGGCCTTTGAAGCCATGACAAGTCTTAAGCTATTAGCATCACAGAGAAAGGTGAACAAGTTCCCCCCAAGGTGTTCTCCCCACTGTGACCTGGGACATCCTTTCAGTTATCTCAAATGACTTCTTTCCAGCTTCACGGGGTACCTGGGTCAGCACTTGCAGGGCCACCACCCCCACCATCATCATCACTGTCTTCATTGCCGCTGGGCTGGACCTGCCTGTGAGCTCCCTGGAGCCAGGTGCAAAGTCTACAACGAGACACAGAGCCAGCACGCTGGGAGGGGCTCTGGAGACCACCTCATCATTCTTTCATTTGTCTTTTCAATCCATTTTATTGACCCCTCACTGTGTGCCAGACACATGGGCCCTGGAAAAACAGAAGAAACAAGTGAGGTCCCTGCCCTCCAGGAATTAAGATAATGTGTGGGGTCAAAAGCGCTGCAAAGAACAGCAGGATGATGGGCCAGTATTTGAGGAGGTCATTTTCAGATGGGGTGGGCAGGGAAGGCTTGCCTGAGAAGGAATCTTGGTGGACACCTTAATGCTTAGGACACCCGGCTGAGAAGAGCAGGCAGAGGAATTTCAGGTAAATTGCACAGTTGGTAAAAAGCTAGGGGGATGATGCAGGCAATCAGCACATTGAAGGAACAGAATGAAGGACAGTGTGGTAGAAGCTTGGTGGTGAGTGAAAAGGGGGGCCTGGGTGTTAAACGTGTGCTCTGAATGAAGACCCCTAAACAGGCTTTGTGTGAGCAACATGGCTGTTTATTCACCTGGGTGCAGGTGGGCTGAGTCGGAAAGCAGAGTCAGCGCAGGGTGGTGGGGCAGGAGTCGGTTTTATAGGCTTGGGGTAGGCAGTGAAAGTTACAGAAGTTACAGTTCAAGGCAGTTTTTGCAAGCTGGGAGGGGGCCATAGGGTCTGGAGTCACTAGGTTGACCAAGGTCAGTTACAGAGTCCAACTGCCTTATCAATTGAGGTGGGAATGAGGAACAATAGAAGACTGTCTCAGTTAATTAGGCGCTGCAGGGGTTGATCATTCTTCCTCTTTTCATGGTCTTCCAGTTACTTCAGATTGTCCAAGTCCGGGAGGCCATCCAGAGGTGTATGTGTGGGTCACGGGGGTCGCCATGGCTTGACTTCGGGCTCAGAGAATCTTGCACTGGGGACCGTGAACACTTGAAGCCTGTGGCGGAATCTGGCTTTGATTTTGAGGGCTGAGGGGACCATTACAGGGCTTTAGGCATGGGGATGGCATGATCCAATTTGCACTTTTCATGTCATTTCATCTGCTTCCTGAAAAACACATGATAGGAAGAGGGAGCGTGGAAGCAGGGAGACTAGGGAGGTGGTAACTGCAGAAACAAAGAGGTGGCGGCTGATGGGGAGGGCAGGAATCTGACCCTGGTGGATTTTAGAGGCACAGACGGCAAACCTGCTGGGGTGCTGTCTGGAGGGGACAGGGAGGGCAAAGGCTGGGTGCCTCCCTCTTCCCCCTTTACCCCCTTCCTAAATGGCCTAAATCATCTCCCTCAGGCCACTAAGAGGAGGCAGCGAAGGACCCCAGACTATGCTGCTAGAGGTCCCCAGGTCACCAGGGCTTTATCTTGGGTCTGTGCAGAAACTAGGGACCTGGGCCAGAGGTGTTTTCAGCCTTCTAGCTCTCTCCTTCCATCCTCTGCAGTCTCTCTCCCCACCCTCTCTTCCCCCTTCTTCTCTCCCCCTCCCTTCTCTCTCCAGCTCCTTCCCCCACCTCCTGCTCCTCTCTCTCTCTCTCTCTCTTTCTCTCTCTCTCTGTCTCTCTCTCTCTCTCTCTCTCTCTCTCTCACACACACACACACACACNCACACACACACACACACACACACACACACACACACGAAGCAGCCTTATCAGGAGGAAGCCTCCAGCAGAGACAAGCAGTCTCCAGGGACAGAGCCGAGGAGCTGACTGAGGAGTTTCCGGAGCAGGGGAGGCTGACTTCCCTGCTTTCCACATTCCTTCCAGCTCCCGCTGCCTCACCCTCTCGCTTCCTGCAGCATTTCTCTCCAGACCCATGGTTCTCAACTGGAGGCGACTTTGTCTTCCTGGGACATTTGGCAATGTCTGGAAACATTGTTGGCTGTCATAACTGAGGAGGGGGCGGGGCTGGCAGGGAGTGGGTAGAGACCAGGGATGCACAGGAAAGCCCCAGTGCTGCCGCTGAGAGCCCCCGCAGGCGCTGCCAGCAGAGCTGGAAGGGACTGTCCTCTTCCTGTGGTCCCACTATCACCACAGCGGCCACACTGTCCCTGCACTATCTCGATTGGTCTTCTCAGGCACACTGTGAGGTACACAGTATTATTCACCCAAGGTCACGCAGGCAGTGAGAGGCAGAGCTGGGATTCAGACTGTAAGCCTGTGGTTTAACTGGACTCTCTCTACTGAAGGGGTTTTCACAGGCTGTGTCACTGTCATTAGCAATGGCACACATTGTCTCAAATGAAGTCTTATGTAAATCCAATGTGTGAAAGAGATAATGCAGAACTGCCTAGGATGAAGCAGTGTGGGAGGGCATGAATCCCCAGGCCCACCCATCCCTACTCTCTCTATGGAGCCTCCAAAGCCATCTGTCTAGCCTGGCAGGTCCCCTGCAGAGGGCTGCACAGGTTGTGCACTGCAAAACTCTAGGGAAGGCCACTCCCGTGGGCTTCTCTGTGGGGCTTGTTGAGGTAAAGCAGAGCTTCTTTAGGGAAGGATGGCAGATGGGATTTCTCCCATTGCAGACGTGTTGCTTAGCAGACAAGGTGTCTCGGTAGCTTAATAAGGTCTGGGCCTGGCGCGGTGGCTCACGCCTGTAATCCCAACACTTTGGGAGGCCGAGGCGGGTGGATCACGAGGTCAAGAGATCGAGACCATCCTAGTCAACATAGTGAAACCCCGTCTCTACTAAAAATACAAAAAAAATTAGCTGGGCATGGTGGCTCGCACCTGTAGTCCCAGCTTCTAGGGAGGCTGAGGCAGGAGGATTGCTTGAATCTGGGAGGTGGAGGTTGCAGTGAGCCAAGATCACACCACTGCACTCCAGCCTGGCGACAGAGAGACTGCATCTCAAAAAAAAATTTAAGGTCTGGAGCAGAAAAGCGGGATGGGAGTGGCTGGGAGTGGCTAGCATCTGCCTTCCCAGTCCTAAGATACGGAAAATAGAAAATTGAATTGGACTAGTAGATATCTTGACACTCCCCACCCCTTGCAACTTAGCAGTGACTCAAAAATGAAGCTGCCAACCCTCGTTCCAAAAAACCTTACAAGACCTGAAGCTCCTATATACACTATTCCCCCAGGAAAGCCTCCCCAGCCCTAGAGCCTCTCTCCCCAGAGCCCCGTCAGGTTTCTTGTTTGAGGCCTCCTATTGTTCATCTTTACCTAACATTAGCCCAGATTCATGTCTGGGCAGAGGGGCTATAGTTGAGGTTTTCACCGCCCTCTCAATCCTCTTGGGGTTTGGGCTAGAACTGGTAGAGTGGGTCAGATAGGGGGTGTCCCTCTCCAGGCCTCACCGTGAAGTGAGACCCTTCCCCACTGAGTGTCAGAGCTGCCCCCCAGGCATCACCAAGCCACCTGGCATCTTGGTGGTTTGACCATGAGGACCAGTGGAGACCCTGTAAAAGAAGACTGGGAGCACTGTCTGCTCTCTCTGTGTGGACTTCTCCAGCTGCCCTGTGCTTGGGCATCTTCCAGCCTGGAATAAATCCTCCTGGCCCATGTCCCCTCCGTCCAGACACAGCTACAGAGTGACGCCGCTGATGTCAGAACTGACCCCTCCGTTCCAACAGGGAGTGGTGCCCTTGGGTCCCAAGCGGGCTGCAGGCTGCAGGCCTCCCTGAAGTGAATATTCAGCAAAGTGGAAGACAGCACCCGGAAAGCATGCAGCAGCTCCCTCTGGGGAAGAGAAAGAGGGAACCTCGTTGCTCTATACCTTGTGGACTTCTTGCAGTATAAACCTTCATGGACCTAAGAAAAATCATAATAAAGGAAAAATGAGCCGGTTGTGCTGGTTCACACCTGTAATCCCAGCACTTTAGGAGGCTGAGGCAAGCTTAGGAGTTCCAGACCAGCAACATGGCAAAACCCTGTCTCTACCAAAAATTATCCAGGTAGGGTGGAACGTGACTGTAGACCCAGCTACTTGGGAGGCTGAGATGGGAAGGACCGCTTAAGCCTGGGAAGTTGTGGCTGCAGTGAGCTGTGATGGTGCCACTGCACTTCAGCCTGCGGGACAGAGCATGTCCCTGTCTCAAAGAAAGAGAGAGGGAAGTTTGAGGCTTGGCAGTAGAACCCCTGAATGAGGAGGTTTCCAGGCCAGCAGTGAATACATTGAGAATGGACTATGACCATGTGGAGGGGCTCTTGTTTTCAACCCCTTGTGCTGGCTTCAGAAAGGAAATTAAGTTCCTTTTTTTTTTTTGGGGGGGGGGCTACAGGCGCATGCCACCACGCCCAGATAATTTTTTGTATTTTTCAGTAGACACAGGGTTTCACTGTGTTAGCCAGGATGGTCTCCATCTCCTGACCTCGTGGTCTGCCTACCTCAGCCTCCCAAAGTGCTGGGATTACAGACGTGAGCCACTGTACCTGGCCTTTTCTTCTTTTTTCTTTTTGAGACAGGGTCTTGCTCCATTGCCCAGGCTGGAGTGCAGTGGTGCAATCACGGCTCACTGCAGCCTCAATCTCCCAGGCTTAAGCAATCCTCCTGCCTCAGCTTCCCAAGTAGTTGGGATTCCAGGTGTGAGCCACCATGCCTGGCTTATTTTTTATTTTTTGTAGAGACGGGGTCTCACTATGTTGCTCAGGCTGGTCTCAAGCTCCTGACTTCAAGTGATCCTCCCACCTCAGCCTCCCAAAGTACTGGGATTACAGGCATGAACAACGACGCCCAGCGTGAATCTTGTAGGATTCAGGAGCCACATTGGCATTATCTTCAGCTACCCTCTGATCCCAGACGGCTTTTCAGTAGAACCTGGGCACCTGTGCCTTGCCTGGCTTTACTGTGCATGCACATCATCTCTGCCCGGTGGGCCAATGAGCTCCTCAGCTGGGACTGAGCCTATGTCTCTGAGGCTGCTCTGCTCTCTGGCTCAGTGCCAGAGGCATAGCAGGGCCCAATGTGTGTTGGATGATTCTGTTGCAAGTTCATGATCTCCAGTAGAGAGGGGATCCAGGCCTAATGGGTCATTAATTCATCAGACATACGTTGAGCACTCATTATGTGCCAGACATGGGCTAAGCCTGGGGACTGAGTGGAGAATAAACACGCAAAATTTCTGCAGGAATGGAGCTAACCTTGCACTGGGGAAGACACAGTGTGTGCAGAAAAATGTCAGATAGGGATGACTGCTGAAACAGGAGAAAACAGGGTGAGGGATAAGAAGGCTGCTGAGGCCAGGCATGGTGGTATGAGCCTGTAATCTCAGCCACTTAGAAGCCTGAAGGAGGAGGATTGCTTGAACCCAAGAGTTCAAGACTAGCCTCATCAACATAGTAAGACCCTATCTCTAAAAAGTTTAATTTAGAAAACAAGGACCAGGACAGGTGCAGTGGCTCACGCCTGTAATCCCAGCACTTTGGGAGGCCAAGGCAGGTGGATCTTGAGGTCTGGAGTTAAAGATCAGCCTGACCAACATGATAAAACCCCGTCTCTACTAAAAATACAAAAATTAACCAAGCATGGAGGTGGGCACCTATAATCCCAGCTACTCAGGAGGATGAGGTACGAGAATCACTTGAACCTGGGAGGCAGAGGTTGCAGTGAGCCAAGATCATGCCACTGCACTCCAGCCTGAGCTACAGAGCATGACTCTGTCTCAAAAAAAAAAAAAAAAGAAAAAGAAAAAGAGGACCAGTGGGGGTTGCCAAGGAAGGCTGGCTGGGGAGACGTCATTGGGGCCTTTATCCTTGTGAAGGCTGGCAGGAAAGTCCAAGGAGTCATGTGAGGGAAAGGAGACATAACTCCCTGGCAAGTTAAAGAAATAGAAAGTGCTTTGAGAGGTCAAGGCAGGGGGACTGCTTGAGCCCAGGAGTTGAAGACCAGGCTCAGCAATATAGTGAGACCCCATCTCAAATTA